GTTATTTTTCTCTTCATTTCTTATTGGGCGTTGGGGCTGGGGACCTGTACACGAAGTCACACCTGCAGAGAGCGTGCATCTCGAGGATGGCATGAGACTTTGACGTTTTTTTTTTGGTCAACGGGTTGAAATTCGTTAGAAAGTGAAATGGTAAAACTCTTGAGATTGAGTTTAGGGGTGGTTTGTATAGAGGATTTGAAAAATTGAAGATTTTGGTATAATTTGAATGTTGAGAAATCATGAATATATGAGGGTTTTGGGTTCATTATGAATTTGAAAAATAACATTGTTTGTTTCATGGATTTCATGATAGATTTTGGGAATTCAATTTGTTTGTATGAAGTGAAACTTACCTTTATGGCCCTTAATTATATAAGAAGAGAAAGAAAATATGAGGGGTAGGTTGACAAAAAATGATGGACTTCAAAGTCTATGATCAATTCCCACCTAAAGAGGTGGGATTTTCAAGTCCGTGGGCCTCACAGATTTGGACCCTCAAAGTCCATGGATCCCACGGATTTGTTACATCTAAATAGTTGAAGCAAACAATGGATTTTGGGTAAAGTCCATCATGGATCTAAATCCATCACCAAATCCATTACCAAATTCATCAAGCAAACAAGTTAACAACTTACGTGAATCCACTCAGGAAGAATGGAGTTCATAGAAATTCGATAATTAAATTACAGCCTATAGTGTAACTTTAAGTACATAAAACATTTCTATGGATTTGGATTAGGCTATTAAGTCAGATTTTTAAGAACATTTTTAATTATACTAGAAGTATTTGTCTGTGGCGGAATCAGGTTTGAAATTAGGAGTTATAGCTCCCAAAAACTTTGAAATATAGGTAAATTGTATGTAAATTTTGTAATAAATTTAGAAAAGAAAGTAATCTGTAAGGCCCCATTTAGTATAGTTTTGTTGTTGTTGTGTTGTGGTACTGTTGTGACAAAAGAGGTACAACCACAACAACATGAAAATGAAAAACAATACATATTTAGTTGGTAATTATGGGAAATTAACAAAGTTGTCATTTTTATGTGTTTCGTTACTTCATTAAGCCCGTTTAGTATCAATATTGACATAACGACAAAAGTAGGAATATAATGTGAGGAATAGTGTGACATGATGAGTTATAAGGAAATTATGAATACAAATATACGAAAATAATATTAAAAATTATAAGATTTCGGTGATGACTGATGAGTTATGCAGAAATGGAGAGAGGGATATATGTAGAAAGTGGGTCTAGTGAGATTTAGTCATAGTCTCATTTGAATGAAATTATTACAACAATTGATAGGATTCCACGAGAAATAATTTTTTGGAAATGGAAGTTAATTTTATTATTTCATTTTTTTCAACTAATTTATGTTGTCTTGCCAACTCCTATTGCCACAACAATAGATGAAAACACAACTATACATGCTTTCAGCATCTGCTTTCACATGTAAAAATAGGAAACGAAAACCAAAATGATACTAACAAAAGGCTTTAGCACCTTCCTCACCAATTATCACAGTTTGAATCAGGTCCCACTTGTTTAGATTTATTGCTCCATCACTAGTATTTTTTGTTGATGACATTAATAAAATTACTCAATTTATAAGTGTATGCAGCCCAATCAAGATTTAGTTTTTCTTAATGGTTAATCGAAATTTTATTGACGCTCTAGACTTGCCTTGACTCGATTGGAATTATGAATGATAACGAGGTAGGTTAGGGAGTGTATCTCGATATTCATACTTCCGTGTGGCAGGTGGAGCATTTGTTTTGGATGCAGATTGAGACACATCGACTCATACATGTATGTATTTTAAAGGAAAAACACTTGAAACATTGATTTTTCATAAATTTTTTTGAAATATGACATGATAAATATAGTTAAATTATTTGAGACATTGAGGGTCTCACTTTTTACATCTTTATTGTAGCTAAAATATGGCGTAATAAGAGTAAGAGTAAGTAACATCCTAAATAATTTGAGCAAAATTACATACAATTTAAGTAAAACAGTCAAAATGTGGCGGGTCAGGACGGATAAGATCGAGAAGAATACTCATACCCGGCTCATCTCACTAATAAATATATTATCCACCCAAAAGAGATCAAACAAATTGGATCATATGTGTCACATCGAAATTACCATCTCCCATATCTATCTGCCAACAAAAACTTACTAGCACTTAGGGGTGTACATGGGTCGGGTGGTCCGGGTTTAGCCATTTTAATCACCCGATCCATGCACTACGGTTTTGGAAATATTAAACCCAAACCCACCCAATTTTTTTTAAACCCTACGGGTTGTTTCTAATTGAATTGGGTCGGGTTGGCGATATTTTTAAGTAAAAACCCAACCCAACCCAACACAAAATATGTAATTATTCTACACCATAGAAATATTTTATAAATTATAACTAATTAAAATTTCAAACGAATAAACCGAGGTGAAAGGTATGAAAATTCACAAATGTTGTTTGAATTTTAATAAAATGTGATATACTTCAACATATGTCTAGTTTTTTTCATGATATTTGTTGAAATAGGCTAAAAAGGTTATAAACGAACGCATCCATAATATGTTATTCTATTAAAATTGTACAAAAAAAAGGATTACGTGAATCATAACTATATTAAATTTATGTCTAAACTTTGGATACAAACTCATAACAATAGTTGGAACACAGGTTGGGTAGGGTTCTACGGGTTGTGTAATCCAAAATCCAAACCCAACCCAACCCAACCCAACCCAACCCAAAAGAGGCGGGTTATACAAAAGAAAACGCTCATCCAAACAAAAACTTTCGTTTTAACGATAAGATTAAGGTTAGACGGTTAGATCGGATTAGACGATTAGGTCGATTTGCGGGTGTGTTTGTTCACCCTACTAACACTTACCTATTCTAAGAGTATAACTCTTAATCCTTTGGTATCACCTTTCCCACTTCCAATTTGCTAAAATCGAAAGAGTTGCTAGCCCAGATGCAAAGGGTCGTCCAAATAAATTCTGACCCTGGGCTTTTGGTTGTTCCAAATAAATACTGGTAGCCCAGATCCAAACGGGCCTTTCTAATACACAACTTGTATCCCTTTCATGACAACGAGCCCACTGTTATGCTCACTACCTCTGTGAAGTGTTCCCACCAGAATTTCCTTCAGCAATGGCTGCAGTTCTGCTAGAAATCGGGAGAAAATCTCAAAGTACACCAATTCTTAAATTTTTTTTCCAAAATATATAAGTTATAATTTTTTTTCAAAAGTACACATGTTTCACATTTACCGTTTTTGACAAACGCAGTGAATATAATCACCGCATTATACAAACACGGTGAACATTTCACCGTTTTAGATTAAAATGATGACGTGTTCATCGTCTTTAACTAAAGCGGTGAAGTATTCATCGCGTTTAACCAAAACGGTGAAGACATCACCGTTTAAATTAAACGCGGTGAATACGTCACCATTTTAGGGCAAGGCGAGGAACATCTTCACCGCCCAGGTTACAGCGGTGATTGTTTCCCACGTTTCCCACCCCTGGTAGGTGAAAATTAGGTCACAACCACCTAATGTTCACTTTTTGAGACAAACGCGGTGATATTGTTCACCGTTTGAGACAAAGATGGTGAATGCTGACCGATTTTCCTATAAATACCACTCCCACCAGCAGTTGTAAAAACGTAATCCCTCTCCCTCTTCAAATTTCAGCAACCAAAACCGAGCAACATACACAGAACATGAATTTTCGGTATTATTTAATTTTCGTATTGTAGCCTAATGATGTTTTTAGTAGTTACGTTGTTATGTTATGAATTACTTATCGTAGCAAATATGTTCTGTTAGTGGGGGAATTTATGTTGTTGTTAGTTAGTTGAATTTATGTTATGTTAGTTATGAGATGGAGTAATATTAGTCGTACAATATGGTTTTGGTAAATTGTAGATATGGGTAAATTGTAGATATGGGTAAAATTTTACTGGAATTAAGCTAATAGTTGCTTATTGTAAATTGTAGATACGGGTAAATTCAAGAAGTTTCAGCTTATTATTCGGTGTAATGGAAGGGTGACAAACTCTGACATAGGGATTGATTATGAGGACGGTGTATCCACTATGCTGAAAATTGAGTCGCGATTCAATTTTCAAGAACTCTGTGATATTTGTGCAGACAGGGTTTGTACGAGCGGGCAGACGAGACTTGGTAAAATTAGTTACCGGTATCCAGACATGAGTGCTGGCGGGGTTGTTTACCAAGAAGTTGTCATAAACGATGATGACGCGGTTACAATGATGTTACAGTTCCTAAGCGATAACGAGATGCGGTTTGCAGAGGTGTATGTTGAGACCGAGGCGGTCGGTGAAACTCATTCTCTCCAGTATTCTTATGATGATGGTTTTGCAGGAGGGTACGGATGGGGTGGTAGTTCGAGCAACTACGAAGGAGGTGGTGGTTATACAGGAGGTTACGAAGAGGGTGGTAGTTCAAGCAACTACGATGGAGGTAGTAGTACATGATGGGTGCCATCGGAAGAATACTTGCAACGGGATCAACCTGCCGATGGCGTTCAATGGCCTGCTTGGGGGTTAGAGTGGGCTGAAATTGAGAATACCATTCGATCAGGGCGTACTTCACATGAGCGAGAAGATGATGTTGGTGATGGTGGTCATGTTGATCCTTCTGGCCCGAGCTATCCATTCGAATCGTGCGATGATGATACCGAGGAAGATTTGAGATCAGTGAGTGAGGAGGAAGATACTGATGACAGCGACGACGATCCGGCATTTCGTGAGGCACCGACGCCATACTACACACAAGTTCCAACTCAATTTTTACATAGTCAGAATGATGCCCTCGACTTTGTCCCTATGCCTTGAATCCACCTGTTTGCTTGTCGGGGAACAGAAATCCACCAACCAAACCAATGAGGTAGATGCGTGCATAGCACTTCACTTGATCTTCTGGAGTCTCGTCATTGATTTCTACCTCATTTTGGATGTGAGTTACGAGCCACGGGATTGACACTTGTCCCGCATTCTATGGTGGATGCCCCCGTACTTGAATTGGTGTGGTGGTCGGCATGTCAAATCCCAATTCAGCAAGAATGAGAGGCCCCAACCACCTTCGGGTTTGGTAGTGGTACCAATGATGGCCTCTCCAGAAATCGGCAGCCCGGTGAGGAGAGCGACATCTTTGAGGGTGATCGTCATTTCCCCCTCCGGAAGGTGGAACATATGAGTTTCGGGGTGCCATCGCTTCGACATTGCCGTAAGCAGATCGTTGTCGATTTCAATTCGCATGAAATGCCTCAGCATACCCAACCCGGTCCTCTCTATATACGGCGCCATTCGATCATGACAAGTGGGAAGGTTTGTGGTCCCTTTATGAATGACGGGAATAAGTGATTCCTACAAAAACAATTAGGAAAAACATCAATTTGTTAGTTAAAAGAAAGCAAAATAAAACCTTATAAAATAATAAAATAAAGCAAAACAAATCATCAATTTACCGGATTGTTGTCCCAAATTGCACGGGAGCGATGTGCTTTTTGAACGGTTAAATACTTCGTATCTCTTGGCCCATAATGGATATACAATCGAGGATCGTATATCTCGGCACCCATCTTTAAAAATAAAGTAATGAAATCAGATTTTTTTGATTAAAAAATGACAAAATCAAATTGTTTCGATTAAAAAAAAATTACAAAAGAAAAACCAAGAACCTACCCGAAGAGCCTCTTCGTCCATTTTTTTGGCGGAAGCCGGACAGAGTTTCGACGGGTTTATAAGGGACGGGAGCTTTAGGGTATAACTCTAGTAATTCTTTCTGATGTGGAAGATCGGACTTAGCCGGAACCATAGAGCATACTTAGAACGAGACTAGAGTTGATGGATGGAGGGAGAAAGAATTGTAAATGAGTGGCGTGATTTGAAAGAGGGGGGAATGGATCTATTTATAGGGGGAGGGAGGGCTCTGCCGAAAATCAATGCAGAGCAATCACCGCCTTTAACAAACGCGGTGAATACATCGCCTTTATCGAAGACGGTGAAGCGACGCGGATCGAGCTGACGTGGGACGCTGTGAGGCGTCGGATCTGGGAAGGAAACCAAAATTAGGGGTGGGAAACGGTGCGGTTGCGGTTAACTGCACCGCAATTTGCGGTTAACTGCACCGCAATTTGTGGTTAACTGCAACTGCAAAACACCCATATTAGCCAACCGCGACCGCGTCCCTCACGGTTAGCGGTTAACCAAAAACAGCAGAACGCGGTTAGCGGTGAACCACGGTTTATGATTGTAAAAATCGCAACAACCGAAACAGTATACGAAACCGCGGTTAAGCAATCTAACCGACAATTAACCGCGAACTAACCGCAAAAAATTCATGAAAAAAAAACACAGCAGCTACTGTTTTGTCTATTTTCACTTCCATCAAGCCCCTGCATCTGTCTGCATATCCAAATAACACAATCCACAAATGCACACGCCGGACGGCCAGGGACGGCGGCGGGTGGATGGCAACGGCGCAGCGCCACAGCGGGAAGATGGGAATGGTCGAAGTTTGACTCGAAGGGTTTTCAGTTGCTGGTGGGAAGGGACGAAACGAAGGGTCGAAGGGGATTTTCGATTTTTGTTTCGTCAAATCAAAACGACGACAGTGACAAGTGGGGGAGGGGCCGGGTCGGGTTTGGGCTGCTGCCTGCTGGGCTGGGGGTCAACTTTGAGCTGGGGGTCAATTATGGGTTGGGACTGGGTCGCGGTTAGCCTTGCGGTTATATGGATTTGTGGTTTCGGTTGCGGTTAAACCGCAAACCACAAAACAGCCCATATCTCCAACCGCGATCGCAAAATAGGCAAAATATGCGGTTTGCGGTTAACCAATAACCGCGCGGTTTCAGTGCGGTTATTGGTTTAACCACGAAACCGCAACCGTTTTCCCAGCCCTAACCAAAATCCGCGCCTCACAGCATCTGACGGCAACGGTGAGCGGCTCCGCGACGCGGATCGTTGACGTGGACACACGCGGGGTATTCACCGCGTTTGTCTAGGTCAGCGATCCACGTCGCTTTCATCATGGCTACCAAAAACGGTGACGTATTCACCGTGTTTAATTTAAACGGTGATGTCTTCACCGTTTTGGTTAAACGCGGTGAATACTTCACCGCTTTAGTTAAAGACGGTGAACACGTCATCGTTTTAATCTAAAACGGTGAAATGTTCACCGTGTTTGTCTAAAGCTGTGTTTATATTCACTGCGTTTGTAAAAAACGGTGAATGTGAAACATGTGTACTTTTGGAATTTTTTTTATAACTTATGTATTTTGGGAATTTTTTAAAAGAACTAGTGTACTTAGAGATTTTTTTTCCGAAACCTGGCTGCTTTAGGGGTTTAGGGCCGCACCAAAACACGAGGGGGAAGAACCCTACGACCGCTTCCCAAATCCGGAATAGTCGCGGAAAAAGGAAAAAATCGCCCAGCATAATCGAAGTTGTCGGAGCTCGCCCTGAGATTGCTCCGGCTTGGAAGGATTACGCGTGATCCAAGTTTGAAAGTCTTCGTCGACCCTTCTCAGATCAATAATCTGTAAGGATCGTGATAGTGTATTATGGCGAAATGGAGTTTATTGAGGAAGAAGAAGAAGGAATTACAGAGAAGGAAGAGTGGCGTGTTATTACAACTATCTCTATCTAAGAATTTGGTAAAGTAGTTACAGTCTGCTCAATTGGTCAAAGATAGTAAATGACAGGTAAGCCTCCTCTATTTATACCAGTGACAGCTGGCATCCAGCTGGCTTGGGGTTGTTACAAAACCCTCCCCCTTCAGAATCAGCTTGTCCTTAAGCTGCCAATGCTCAAGCTGGAAAAGAAGGAAACTCCCGTTGAAAAGTGGCCAAATCTTCCCAAGTGGCTTCATCCGGCGTTTGATGGGTCCACTAAACTAAAACTTGAGTAACAGCTCTGTTGCCTTTATTCACATATCGCTTGGCAAGTACCTGGGTTGGAGCTAGCTTCATAGCTCCTCGCGCGTCCGCATCGGGGAGCTGTGTTGCAGCAGGTGGCACTAGTGTGCGACATAACTTCAGTTGGGAGACATGAAAAACAGGGTGCACCTTGGAACCCTGCGGCAGAGCCAACTTGAAAGCCACATTTCCTACCTTCTCCAGAACCTGGTAGGGACCAAAGTAACGAGCTCCCAGTTTATTCCCTTGCCGCCCAACCACAAAACCCTGTCGATAAGGATGCAATTTCAAATATACCCAATCTGTTGGTTGCAAACTTCGTTCCGAGCGTCGCTGATATGCATATTGCTTCTGTATGTTCTGAGCTCGTGTAATGCTGTGAGTGAGAAACTGAACCAAATGTTGCTGCTGTGAGATGCGTTCTTCCACTGTCCCAACTGAAGTAGAATGATCTGGAGCCAAGCCAAAGAAAGTGGGGGGGGGGGGGAGCCATATAAAGCTTCAAAGGGTGTCATCTATATACTAATTTGGAAGTGGGTGTTGTAACACCATTCCGCAAGGGTGAGCTAGGAAAACCAATCTTCAGGCCTATGAAACGTCATACAACGCAGATAATCTTCAAGGCACCTGTTGACTCTTTCAGTTTGCCCATCAGTTTGTGGGTGATAAGACGTAGAATAGTGGAGGTCTGTTCGTTGGAGGCGGAAGAACTCAGTCCAGAAATTGCTAGTGAAAGTCACTTCCCTGTCACATACGATTGTGGAAGGCATCCCATGATATTTGAAAACACCATCGAAGAAGACTTGGGCAATATCAGATGCTATGTAGGGGTGTTTGAGCCCAAAAAAGTGTGCCATTTTAGTAAATCTATCAACCACAACCAACATTACCTGTTTTCCATGGGAAAGGGACAGGCCTTCGACGAAATCCGTACTTATATCCCTCCATGCTTGAGTGGGAATGGGAAGTGGTTGTAGTAATCTAGGGGAAGCAACCGTTTCAGCCTTACACCTTTGACAGACTTCACATTCCAATACCCACTTCCTTACTGCTGATTTCATACCAGGCCAATAAAAATGAGTCTTCACACGCTGGTAAGTTACCTGCATACCCAAGTGCCCTCCTACTGGCCATGAATGAAAGAGATGCAACAGCTTCCCTCGCATGAACCCATTAGATCCCACCACTATTTCTCCCCTGTAACGAAGAACACCGGATGAAAATGACCAAAGTGAAGGTCCTTGCGAATTGACTGCTGTTGCCGCTATCATCTCAGCAATGTCCTGATTGTTCTCATAAGTGTGCTCAATCTCCACTAACCATTCTGACAACACTGTCATCAAAGTACTACACTCACCTGTCTCCATTTCATCATAAAAAACACGTGACAGGGCATCAACTGCGCCATTGCATTTACCTCGTCTATACTTGATTTGAAAATCCAGACCCATTAACTTCACTAAACCTTTCTTCTGTATGGCTGTATGTACCTTCTGTCCCAATAAGAATTTCATACTCTCATGATCAGTCACAATAATAAACAGGCACCCTTCGAGATAATGTCTCCAATGTTCCACTGCCAACAAAACCGCAAGGTATTCCTTCTCATAGCCCCTGATTACGGAGTCCCAATGCTTTACTAAAATAAGCGAGAGGGCACCCACCTTGGGAGAGAACAGCTCCCACACCTGTACCACACGCATCCGTTTCTAATGTGAAAGGTGAGGTGAAGTCTGGCAGAGCTAGAACTGGTGTAGTCACCATAGCCCGCTTTAATGCCACAAAGGCTTTCTTCGCAACTGCTGTCCATTGGAACCCATTCTTGGTAAGCAAAAGCGTCAGAGGGGGGGGGGGGCTAATGATACCATAGTGCTTGATGAACTTCCTGTAATACCCAGTTAAACCCAGAAAACCCCACAAGGCCTTCAATGAGGTTAGACGAGGCCAATCAGACATAGCACCCACCTTACCCTTATTCGTAGAAACCCCATCCTTGCCAATTATATGCCTTAAGTACTCAACAGTAGGCTGACCAAAGGAACACTTTGATTCCTTAGCAAACAAATGATTTTCCCGCAACAAAGTCAGAGCAGTAGAGAGGTGGTTGTAATGTTCAGCAACAGTCTTGCTATAGACCAAAATGTCATAAAAAAACTAGTATAAATTTCCGCAAATACCTTGGCAAACACATGGTTCATAAGAGCTTGGAATGTGGCAGGAGCGTTTGTCAACCCAAAAGGCATAACTCTGAACTCATAATGCCCCTGGTGAGTGTGAAAGGCAGTCTTGAATTGATCCTCATGCCTCATTCTAATATGATGGTACCCTGCTCTGAGGTCTAGTTTAGAAAAAATGACAGCTCCATGTAATTCATCCAACAAATCTTCGATATGAGGAATTGGGAACTTATCCTTGATGGTAACTGAGTTTAATTCCTTGTAATCAACGCAAAATCTCCATGTGCCATCTTTTTTCCCTATGAGTAGAACAAGAGAAGCATAAGTGCTATGACTCTCTTGGATGAATTCGGACTGCAGCATCTCAGTCACTAGCTTCTCGGCCACGGCTTTCTGATGATGAGGGAATCGGTAAGGGCGGATATTGATTGGCTTAGTGCTTGGCAGCAAGGGAATAGAGTGATCAAAGGGCCTGCTAGGGGGGAGTGCGGTAGGGGTAGCAAACACATCGAAGTAGGCAGAAAGAAGAGGTTTGAGAAAGTCCGGAGTAGGGGCAGGAGGTGCAGAAAGGGCCTCAATTGAGAATACATCTCTAGTAAGATGAGAGCTCTGTTTGCGGAGAAGCTGTTTAAAGGATCTTCTTGTCATAGCTTTGCACTGACCATCTTTGGTAAGTCCCTGCAAAGTCATAACTCCCCCTTTCCAATCGAAAGATAACCGACGCTTCTTCAAATCCACCTGAAAGGGGCTAAATGGTTTCCAACCAATCCCATCCCAAGACCAGATCATGGGCTGACAGCTCCAGAGTACGAACATCAAAGTCAAATTCCTGCCCCTGCATCTTCCAGTTGAACCCCCTACACACAACATTACTCAATAGAGAATGTCCACTAGCAACCTTCACTCTCATGGGAGCAATATCCTCCGTATGACAATTCAATTCCTCAGCCTTCAAGGAATTCAGAAATGTATGAGAACTTCCAGTGTCTATCAAAATTGTTACCTCACGACGCCCCGTTGTAGCTGGAATGAGCAACGAATTGCCCGAGAATCCTGTTCCCATGGCTGGCAGAGAAACCTCCATTTCCGCATCCTGATAGTCTTCTTCCAAGTCCTCGTCTGCGTCAGTAGGAGAGGTAATTTCAGCCTGTAGTGAATGGAGCTGCTTCTTCTTAGAACATTGTAACTGGGGCCCTGGCCGCGCGGAACAGAACTCCGTTCTTGCAAGAATTGCGACGAAATTGGAGAATCCCGCGGAGAAGATCGACTAGCCGAAGCTGAAGGAGAAGCTGAAGAAGGAGGAGACCAACGGTTGGAGGGAACAGAACGAGATTTCTTCTTGCGAGCATCAATCGCTGACTCCTCTAATCGAGCTTGATAGAAGGCGTACACTAACGTTGGAGGATTGAGTACCTGAACGCGGGGTTGGATTTCATAATCGAGGCGCCCCCCAGAAATCTCATGATGAAATAATACTCATTGAGATCTGGATTCAATCGCAGCATCCTTGAGCGGAGATCCTCGAACTCCTCCTGATAACGAGACACAGTCGATGTTTGCCGCAGCTGATTGAAAGCAGCGACGACGTTGAGTTGTTCTTGATTCCCAAACCGGTGAAGCAATTCCTCGATGAATTGCCCCCAAATCAATGGAAAGCAACGGAATGCCCAGCCGTCAAACCACGTGTGAGCTCGGCCTTCCAAGTAATACGAAACCAACTCCACCTTTTGGTCTTCGGAAATCAAATACAGGTTAAAAAGCTTAGCACATTCGCTCACCCAGACGTGCGAATCGACACCTGGGAAATAGGAAAACTCTAATCGGGGATAATGATCCAGCAGTGACGGACGACGTGATTGAGAATGGAAAGGCGGAGGCTCGGCGAAGTGCGCTTGAGAGCCGGACGGAGAAGAACGCAGCGGCGACTTGTCGCGCAACCTCGTCAACGAGGCCGTGAGCGCGTCTATGTTATCCTTTGTTGATGCAGCAAGCTCTACAATGGCGGATTTCAGATCTTGATGTTGCAAATTCATCTTTTGCTGGACCGCGGCCATTTGAGTCTCCAAGTCGACGATATGGGAAGTGTTCGTCGCCATTGCCAGAAGGAAGGCTTCTGATACCACTAGTAAGGATCGTGATAGATTATTCTGGCGAAATGGAGTTTATTGAGAAAGAAGAAGAAGGAATTACAGAGAAGTAAGATAGGCGTGTTATTACATCTATCTCTATCTAAGAATTTGGTAACGTAGTTACAGTCTGCTCAATTGGTCAAAGATAGTAAATGACAGGTAAGCCTCCTCTATTTATACCAGTGACAGCTGGCATCCAGCTGGCTTGGGGTTGTTACAGAATCTCTCTCCATCTATCTTCCGCGAGCTCAACACCTTTCTCTTCAAGTTAGTTTCTTTACTCCTGTCCTACGGTGTGTTGTTCTCTCAACTTCCCGTGCAATGTCATTTGTACACTTGGGCAACTTTGTGCCCAATGGTTGAGGGAACTTTTCGGGGTTTTCTTGAATCATGATTGTGCTCAGCTAGTTTATGCTACAATTGGGTTACCTTCCTTTGGATTTGATGATAGAACTATACAACTTCCATTTTCCCATGATTTTAGATTGATAAGTTACCGCGGGGGAGGGTGCATTCTGTTGAGCTTTTTGTGCACAATAAGATTGCCCAATTTGTGTTTTTTTCCTGGAAGTTTGGTTTTTCATTGAGAATATCCGTTTCTTGCTATGGCTATTGCAGGTATGATGATGCATTCGACGGTGTTTTATTAGCTTATAATGTTCATGGTCCGGAGAACAAAGGGCGAATCCTTCCCGGTGTTCATCCGTTCATTGCTGTGAAACTAGAATCTAAATTACTAGTCTTTTTGCCTAAGCAAGACATGCTTTTAGTTACCCTTTCTGTATTGATAGACATTGTTCCTCTTTCCGTGTCATACGTTGACTGGTTTTAAGTAATTTTGAGCAAATGCGTTGTTCTGAACACTACAGAAGGGAAGGTGGTGAAAGTGAATGAACAACTTATTCATGTCATCGTTTTTGGTTTCTCATCGGCTATAATAACAGATGAAGATGTCCGCAACGAGTTCAAATACGAGACGGTATGTTAACCAGTTGTCATTACTGAGCTTGTGTACGTCAATAGATTTAACAAACGCCATGTGATTAAAGCTGGAACTATGATCCGTTTTCTTGTCAAGAGGTGACATTTTCTTCTCTTAAACTTGTGCAAATTATCTTTTGTAGCGATTAAGTAGTTTTACCATCTAATAGGTCTGCTGATGTTAAGTATTCTAGCGATCTTAGTACCCTAGCAATCCCTTCCGAGATTAGGAACCGTAGAATGAAGCATAATCATTAATGCAGAATTTCGGACAAAGAAGATTTAACATTTGATAGTTGATTTATGTAAATTGCATAAAAGGCATAGTTTATATAATTCCAATTCGTTCAGCAAACCTGAATATCACCATCTCTGTTCCTCCTTTGTTTTCACCTTCTTACAACAAAGTTAGATAAGGATGCTTAGATAAATTATATGAATATGAAAGATCATTTGTATTTGTTACTTTATACAGTATGGATGAAGAGACCCTCCACATCTACGGATCATTGATCCCTGCTAACACCAGAAGCATTAAGATATTGGAAAAATCCTCAGAGCAGACCAACACAGAAAGCCTGACAATCAACAGGTTTCTCTCCAAAATCTGTGGCCAACACTAGAAACCCTTCTCCGCACCAACTTACTCAGTATCTCTCCAAAATCAAGACCCTTTTATTGAGGGAATGTTGTCGACTACTAGGGAAGGGTTGCAAGGTGATTGGGTTTCAAGATGGGTACATCAAGTTAGAAGAACACGAGGCGAGCATGGAGAAGGAGAACTCGGGGAATTTCCTTTCACCGGATTAGGAGTTGAGAACGCTATGGGTAATTACTGGATACATATGGTGCCAAGACATAACTGGAAGTATCGAAAGCAAACGGATCTTGGTCCAACTCTTATTGTCAGTTACCACAAAATGAGAGGAAGGTTCTTCTACATCGATCCAGGCTAAGAAGTCGCCTGAACTTCGGGGACGAAGTTCTTCAAAGGGGGGAGGTTTGGGGCATTATAACTTCCTTGGGCCCCGTGGCTGAATTGGGCTTAGTCATTAGGGATATATTGTTAGTTAATTATTGAGTTATTTAGTTATTTAGAGTTATTCATATTAGTTTATTGTTACTTGTTGAGGAAGTTATTAGTTTACCCTGTTAGAGTGGGATAGGGTTAGCTATTACGTTTTCCTACGTTTTCCTATAAATATGTACTTTGTGGTGCAGTTATGAATAAGAAGAAGATTATCCCAGTAATTATCGTAGTTGTTTAGGCGTAGAAGTAAAGTAATTTAGCGATTCACGACGCGTGAATTCTATCACGCGCCAAAATGCAGATTCTCGATTTTAGCATAGCGACTTGAAAGCCTCCGAAAATGCACCTCCAGGATTTTCCCTGAGCATCCAAACCCTCTAGCTTGTAGAGCAAACTCCAAGATTCAAAACAAGCCCAAGCACACCCATTTTCATTGAGTAAATAGAGAGAATCGAGCCTCCCAAGTTGGTATCCTGGAACAACCAAAACACTTAGCCAAATTTCATGTGTTTTGTTCCTTAACAACCTTGCTCCTTGATCAACCCATGGAAACTTGAATGGCAAGCAATTTGGGATCATATCAGGCCCCTTGTTGAAAAAGCTTTGCCCTCAAAACTTGCGTCTTTTTGACTTTGAAAGAATCGCAAAATTGATCCCAAATTGGATCCAAAATCGGTTGGGCGAACACCCTTTTCTGGAATTGTAGGGTACTGTTCTTCATTGTGCAGATTGGGGCTTTCTTCTGCAGGGAGTTTCAGCTCAATTCGATACTTGCTCGGGATTGCCCAGACTTCCAATTGACTTGCTGATCCAATCTCCAGCGTCGACGCTGCACCATTGCTAGCGAATCGTCACTTGTAGTTTTCCCGCCATCGTCGTCATTCAAAAAGACAGAACCCATAATGTCGAATGCGAATTCAGGGCTTTCGAATTTAGGGATTGTCGACTCTAATTGGTGAGTCCTACAGCTTCCTGGGACCTTACTCGTTGATTCGACACTAGCAGCTTGGATCGAATCGTGCCCAAACTCGCCAACCCATAACCCCGTATTCTGGTCGCCTTTGCTAGTTTCCAGGGGCAATTGTGCTCGAAATCGATCCGTCGATTGGGGTTGAATTGATGCAAAACGATACATGTGAGAGCTTCTGGGTGATCCATGGAAGATGTCTGTATTGCTGGGTTGTATCGAATTGCTCAACAACGCTCCACCCGATTCACCCTCTCTCCTCCCCTGTCTCGCCGTTAACAGCAAACAGGGTCGTCGTTGTTCTGCAATGGAATGCGGTTCTCGACGGAGAGTTGTGAGCACTAGCTTTCGTGCCACCAGACTTACTTCCTTTCCTCTCAAGCTAATGGATTCTCCTTCGCCTTTAGCTCTATTCTAAACCATCTGTCTCTGATCATCTCGAACCTCTACCGGCGAGAGCGGTTGCAGCCTGAATTTCTGTTTTTTGAGCTTGAATGTGTAGCAATTAGTCCTCCCATGGTGCGTAACACCTCTGTCGTATTTCCAAGGTCGTCCCAGGGGAATGCGATCCTTGTATTGGCGTGCATTGGCGTCACATTGCAAAGAATGCGATCCTTGTATTGGCCGATTTCAAATTCGACCCACGTTTGTTTGGAGACCTTCATTGTGACATGATCATTAAGCCAATGGAGGCTGTATGGTTCGTGGTGCTTCAATGTACTCAACCCGAGTTTTCTAACTGCCTCCAAACTTACCACGTTAGTACAACTTCCTCCGTCAATTACCATAGACGATGTCTTGTCTTGAATCAAACAGTGCGTGTGAAACAAATTATCTCGCAGTAGAGTTTCACAATTGGCTTCAATGATGAGGGTCCTCCTGTTGATGAATGCCAGCTTCCCAGGAAGGGTTTCAGCGATGATTTGCTCATGAATTTCTTCGTCGGAGGATGCTTGATCGGGCCTCCTTTCCTCATCTTCAGACTCGGAGTGATACTCACCATCGCGAAGAACCAGAGTCTTCGTATTTGGGCATTGGAAGGACTTGTGGCCACGTCCATGGCAGTTGAAGCACTCTAGTCTACTTGTCCCTCCCCCAGATCGCTCCTAATTGGTCGGTGGTGCATTTTGTTTCGAGATCACTGGCCGATTAGAGGCGGGAACGGTGATCAGAGAATTTTCAGGGGCACTGCTCGGCCTTGGTATAGAGAAGCGTCTAGTTGTTCCTTGCTTGAGTTGCTTTTCGATTTTAAGGGCCAAGTGGATCCCCTCTTCCAGATAAGCAAACTGGCGTAATTCCAAATCATACATGATTTCCTTGTTTAGCCCACATAAGAAACGCAAGATAGTGGCCTTTGAATCCTCACGAACGTCGGCTCTAGTCAGTAGCAGCTCGAACTCCTTGGAGTATTCATCAATAGTTCGTGTACCCTGACGAATTGTCTGTAGGGCTTAATGTAATTCGCGCCAGTAATAAGCCGGCACGAAATTCTCCCTCATCAATCCTCTTAATTCCTCCCATGTCGACACCGAAGCCTGTAAATCGCACTACTCCCACCAAGTTGCAGCGTAATCTTGAAACTCATACGTGGCTAGGAGTAGCTTCTGGTTCTCGGTATAATGACCACACTGGAAAAACAAGAGGATATTCCTCTCCCAATCCAGGAAAGCAATAGCATTGTTCGTACCTTGGAAGGGAGGAATGGAAAGTTTGATTCCTCTCAATTCCGAGACTAGGACTTCCTCTATTTCTCGATTTGGTCGTGGGAAACCTACCCGATGTCGATTTAGTGGTTGATGGTCATCAATGTTGACTTCCAGAGTCATTAACTGCCTTTCCAGTTCTTGAACTCGATCGACCAGAGCTTGTTCAGTTTCTGGGTTTCGTCCTCTCTGTAGTTCCTCCAAGTTCTCTAGTGGCGGATGGTCAAATTCCCGACGAACACTGAATCCCGCTGTATTGTTCGCCGTTACGCTGCCTTGTCGATTCAAGGTCCCAACATGTTGTGATAGATCGTCGAACTTGGCCGTAAGGGTGGCAAATTTCTCATCCTGTTTATGCAGCTGCACCTGTAACAGAGCCACAACCTGATCTTGAAAAAATTGTTGCAGTGCTCCCATCGTAACGGGTTGTGGATCACTCATGACTGCTTCCTTATAATTTCTAGCATCTGTGCCTTCGATTTCAATGAATTGGGTTGTCGCTGCGACCTCCTGTTTCTTCTTCTTCTTCTTCTTCCTTTCAGACAACAACAATGGGGGTTCCGAGACAGGGCCCTTAGACATCGTCTAGTGTATCTTTCCGGCGCCGCCTCCCTCCGTTGAACTCATCTTCTTTGCCCTGTGTAGAACCAAGGCTCTGATGCCACTTGATAACCCCTAAGGAGGGGTTTTGAATTAGAATTCACGCAGCCAAGAGGCTTTGAAGCCTCGGGTTAGCCTTCCTCGAACAAGAACACAAAACAGGGTTCTCCAACAAGCTTAGGCAAGCAAGTTTGTAAGCCAATTGGATGGAAACGAAAGGGAAATCCCACACCCGGGGGATTGCACGATCGTTATAAGGTCGCCTTCGACATTATCGAGTGGTTTTACTCGATCAATAGGCAAACTCAGCAAGTTTTGATCGCAATCAAAACCAAGAACAAAACTCACAATGCACAAGTTGGAATTTTTGGGGTTTTCTTTATATTTCAACTCTCTATCTTACAACTCGTGAATGAGGCCTTTTATAGGCTTAAACAATTACAAACAAACTAAAACTAGAACTAAACTTAACCTAATTCAACATGGAAACGAATTAAACAAGTAATCCGAATTGAATTCAGAATCCTAGTGCTACAGGGATTATAGATGAGTTCAGGTAGCTACTTTAATGAACTCGCAAATGATATTCCTGGCCTCGTTGCTCTCATCCAATTCCAGTTATGGGTTTAGAAAGTGTCCTTGTCTTCACTCCAACTTGAATCAACCCTTGATCGTATCCCAAACTCGAGATATGGAGCTCCATAGAT